TGTAGCCATGTAGCCATACTGCCTCACCGCCTCACCACTCCTAGCAGGAGCTACACCTCACCATTTCATTCCCTGGATTTCCAATAGCCAGTCTTCTGAAATCGCAATGACCGAGTTTGTGGTCTGCTTTTGGGTTGCTCTGTTTAACGTAACAGGATGTGCGTAAATTAAACATTCCCAGTATCAAAAAAGACTCTATAGAGAGCATGGCACATTGCTACACACCACTATTCAATCATAAGATATCCTTGTGCACTCTTGGAGGGCCAACATGGAGGGGGAAAACTTCCTTTAATCCATCCATACATTTTTTGCTGCTCATCCGATTCTGGGTTGTAGGCTTACAGCTAACACATACCGCCCTAGTCACATCCTCCAGCTCTTCCTGGGGGATCCTTAGGTATTCTCTGGCCAGAGGGCATTTATAATGCCTCCAAGTTCTTCTGGGTTTACCTTGGTGTTTCCTCCCAGTTGCACGTGCCTGGAATACATTCAGGATGAACAGGCTACTTTCTACATGAAGGAACCATGGTGCAACTCAGGCTCTGGAGGTCTTTATCCTTCCCAAACAGCGGAAATGAGGAAAAATCTAGCTGGCTCACTGTGAGCATGGTCAAAGAATGATATTATTTTGCTCAATGTTCACATCACTGTGTTTTTAATCACAGGTTTAAATAAAAAGGCTTGTTGAACTTTGCATAACTCCTTTCTTGTATTTGAGAAAACTGTGACTCCTTGGAAAGGTTTAAGAGTCTGAAATGGTTATGTTTCATCCAGACTAATTACACATCAGTCTAAGGTTTATTGGATTTAAATGACTGTCATTAAAACCTGCCATGACTACAAACATATTGAGCCACATTAATGCCTTGGCCAAACTCAGCTTCTGTGACAAAACTGTAAATAGGATTTTTAGCCTCACTCTTGTTTTGGGACTGCTAAATTGGTACTAAATCTTAAAACCTGCACAAGCTCACTTCTGAATTTAAAGTTGGAAAAGCAAATGCATATGATAATTTGTGCCAAAAAAAGAGAAATACTGTGTCCTCTCATTGCTCAAAATGCCCCGAGCTACAAGACACAGAGGAACAGAGCTACTTCAGACGCTGCAAACTTTTAAAGTCTGTCATTCTCCATCAAAAATCCTATCCTGACAGAACCCTCCAACCAGAGCTAGGCATCGACACTCCAGTATACTTAAAACACCTTTACCCTCTTTCATCTATGTCTATCCTTTCTGTCTTTACTCCATCAGGGAAGGCAGGGTAGAGATAGTAGCTGGGATGTCCTGTCATATTCTGCACCCTTACTCATCCATCCACCCCGACTCCCATTTTCTGTAATCTGTAGGCCCAGTGGGGATTGAACAGTTCCCTCCTTCTGAGAAAACCTCCCCATCCAACAGATACTTTCTGTCTCTTTGCTTGAGCACCAGCATCACCGTCCTCTGTCCTTTCTTTTTGTAGTTGTAAGCTGTGATCTACTGTCAACTCCTATCAGACAGGTCAGCTGGAAGACAAGAGGAGGAGAACGACACTGTTATTGACCTCTTCCTCTGTCTCTCTCTTCCAGAATGTAGAGAGAGAGATTCAGATGGTGGGGAGAGATATTAGTTATTAGTTAGAGTAGTTGGTGTATCTGACTGTACATTTCAGCTACCATTGTGGATGGTAATGTAAATAGTCATTATGAAATCCTAAGAATGTCAAGTCAATTCCAGTTTGAGTTGGACTGCATGCCTGACACTGTGTTCAAAACGCATTCAGTCAGGATTTTCTCAGCTGTTAGTCAGTTCTGAATCTCTCTGTGAAACTTTGGGGCTGTGTTTTCTTCAAAACAAGATAGAATAAAGGTTACATTAGGGTGTGATAGTGATATGGATAGATCCCTCTGACTCGGAAGATGGTTTTCCACAGGCCAATTCGGGGGCAGCATTCAAGTAATCCATACTGTACTAAGGTAAATAATTAAAAATGTTTCCAGCGAGAACAGTTATGCAACCAGGATCAAACAAGAAATTGTATACAAGGTTCTCAGGTTGTACCCCAAAGTATGAAAAGTTAAATTGGTATATGCTACTTTAAACCTTCAACCCAAAAATCCACTGTAAAAGAGAAGCTCCCCAAGTTCAGCTTATTTTGTGGGGCAAAACACTTACATTTCCATATGTACATGCTAGCCAATCAGTAAAAGACTATATTTTACCACTGGTTGAGACTGTGCCGTCAGTCATTGAAAGGGCATGTTCGAAGATGGTCCCAAAAAGGTTTTTAGGCTTCTGCATTTAGGGATTTTCTTTCTTTCTTTCTTTCTTTCTTTCTTCTTCTTCTTCTTCTATTCTTTCCTTATCTGCCCTCTTCTCACTTTGAACTAACTTTTTTTACCCTCTCATTCACACCCACAAGTGCCTGGACCTTGTGAACTGTTTGTCTCCAGAGCTCCTGTATGTACAGTAAATATCCTCAGGCGTGTGCTAGGTTAAACAAGATGATGATGTTATATGATAATAATCCTTTTTAAAGAAAAAAACAAGAACAGGTAGACCATTTTCTCTGATTTAAAAGCTTGCTTTAACCATGAGAGGTAGGAAGTAGAAGTGTTCTCTTACTTTAGGTCCTAAAGTTTATGGCCTTTTAAAGTTATTTGCTTTAGAGAACTACGCCTAGGAAATCAGTTGATAAGCCTGCTTTGAGATATAACTAATATCCAAATATATTATGGCTGTTTTGTGCAATCAGAACAAGTTTTTCCACTTGTTGTGATTAATGTTTCCTGTCCACTATTCTGACAGACAAGACAAGAATTGGTTTGGATAAACAGAAGTGATGGTGGTATCTGAGAAGGATGCGTCCTTTCTGTGTTTACACTATGAACACAGCCTTGAGCCCCACAGCCAGATATGTTGTAATAATCCCATATGTGTCATATTATTTCCCCTAAGACTGTTCCTGTAACTTTTAAATGTCAGCACATTATCACTCCGTGGGAGACAGAAGTTTAACAAAGAAGCATAAAGGGCACTGTTCTTCTCAGAAGCTAAATAGGTGTTTGTTTAACATTATTCCCTTTTTACCAACTGCCATTGTTACGTTTTTTATGCAAGACACCAGCTGTTCTGCCATTCTGTAACAAACAGGGTTGCGACCTCTTTCACTGTGACTCAGTCTGTGGGTTTTTTGTCCAATCTGTAATTCTCCTGCCTTGTATGAGTGTGTCATTGTATTCCGTCTTTTTTTTTCCTTTTCAGACACATCAAGACGGAGCTTGTGCCATGAGGTGATCACTGTATAAACCGGTTTCGTCTGACCAAGCCTTACCCTACCCGTCTCACCTGTAGACATGGGGTTATGTATGAGGGGTTGGAGGTGTCGGGGCATCGCTGGGGCCTTCAGTGCCAGTGTTGGACTGTTGCTGCTGGGGCTCAGCCTGGCCCAGTCGGTCCCTCCGCAGACTACCTGTCCAGCAGCCGTGGCCCCACAGAGCTTCGCCCAGCCCTATTACCAGAACACAGCAGGGGAGGACACCATTGTGGGTTTCATGTCAGCTCTAGTCCAGTCCTTCCTCCACACAGTCCAGCCTAAACCCTTTCCTAAAGGTTAGTACCATGAGTTTTACTCACTAATCCAACATCTTGAACCTGTCATGGTGCACAGGACCCTGTCGACTTACTCACAGTGTTCTGTTTGACGACATTTATTTCTTTGTCCAGAGTCCAAATTAAATCACACACAGCTTTCACACAGGGTAAAATGTATCTACAGGGGCAAAGGTGACGCATCACACTTAACCTTCACACATGCTCCAAAGCTAATAATGCTTGTACAAATAAGATGACAGGATTGGTTAATCAGTATGTAAATGGAAATTCTTGTATTTTGCCACATCAATCTTTAACCTTTATTTCCTGCTCTGATGTTTTTAGGCCGCTGTTTCCTGAAACTGAGACTTGTGACGCATCTGTGTCTGTCCCTGTGATATGTTTTCTCAATTGCACCATAAACCCTCTATTGTGCACA